AACTCTTGAAGCTGGTGAGGCCTCCAATGAATCTCCCCCGAAGACTGATGTGAATAAAGGGGTGTCGAAACTTGATTTTATTATGAGAATTGTGGCCATGTTTGGTACCTTAGGGAGTGTCATTGCCATGTCAACCACTAACCAAACACTCCCCTTTTCCACGCAATTCTTTAGGTTTGGGACCAAGCTCAATGGTCTTCCTACCTTCACGTAAGACTTCATCGTACTCTGTTGTTAATATTTAGCTATCTTGAACTATACCATATGGTTGTAACCTTGTTAAGTATTTCTGTTTATGAAATTTAATGATGCCATTTATATTTTGCAAAACAGGTTCTTCGTTGTAGCAAATGTGATTGTATTTTGCTACCTGGTTCTATCCCTTGCCTTATCAATCTTCCACATAGTGAAAAGTGCTGCAGGGGTCACCAGGGTAATTTTGATCTCCCTTGACACGGTAAATTCCCTCAAATTATGAGTTTTACCTAATGTGTTGCTAAACAAATAGGGGGTGTTTGGTAAATAGCTGTTAGCTGATAGCTGATTACATACAAAATGACTTTCTCAAAAAGTTGATCGAAAAAATTGCTTTGAGTAGTTATTTGAATTTTAGCGTCTTGGAGCAATAAGCTGTTACAAAAAGCTAATTAATCAAGCATTTGTATTGGTTGTATAACTAAGTCAAACAGCTAATAGTGATCAAATAAGCCAAAATTGGCTGATAAGCTAACTTTGCTGTTGTGCAGGCAATGCTGGCATTATTGACATCCGGAGCTTCAGCTGCTGCGGGCATTGTACACCTAGCACACAACGGCAATGCCCAGGCAACCTCGGTCACCATTTGCCAACAACACGGCTCTTTCTGCGAGCGTGTCTCAGGTTCTTTGGTCGGATCCTATATAGGATGCCTCGTGCTTTTACTGTTGATTGTGTTGTCCGCTTTAGCCCTTTCTAGAAACTGATCTGCACTGAATAATCCGTTTGGACAACAAACGAGATGTCCACGTTGTATTTGGCGAACTTTGTTTGCATCGAGTTGTGTTTTCTTGTTCGGGTTATTTTCTAAATTTGTTGTTGATTCACATATGAAGGAACACTATCAATTTGAACCCTTCATGTTTTGGTAGCTGTGTGATTTTTTGTAGTGGCCACAGGAAAGTTGGCCCCATGATTAAGATAAGATATAGAGATAAGCCTAGTCTTAGGTTGTGTCTATCCTTTTATCTGGTAAAAAGGACCATATTGAAGTATAAGATATTTTCCCAGGTTAGGAATAATGAGTTGTACAATAATGAACTGTATTAATTATTTTGTAATGGTGGATTGGTCATATTCTAGAACTACAAGCTATCAGAATAAATCAACTATGAATTAATATATTATGTTTGACAGAACTCACAGAAGATACATAAATTATAAAATAAATAAGTGGAATTCATTTTGGTTGTTATACATACAATTAACCAACCATAATCTACTACTGCTTTCGCATCGCTCTCAACGCCATTGGTTGGTTTGAACCAACCAAACACCTTCATGATTTGTGTCTTCCTCACCACTATATATATATAGGAACAAGTCATTAAGAGAAAATTAAAGATTAATTTCAGTCTTATATTTTCTAGAAAAAATCAAAGGGATCATATCATAATTAAGAAAAATACAATGATATTTTTGTAATTATTATCAATTTTATCAAAATTTGAATACTAAAATCTGTATTTTCTATAAAAAAAATTATATTTGTACATTTAGTTGTTACAAAATGCATATATTTTTTGAGAAAGAGAAGGGCAAAGCCTCAAAAAATAAAATAACTACATTAATGTAAATTACGTGAATAAAGATTTGTGAAACAGTCTCATTTGTGTGACTTTCTCACCAATATGATGACTAATTTTTCTTTTGAGTTAAAACAACGTGGTGTGAGTGTTTTTATTGGTTGATAAATTAAGCATATAATTGTAATATACGTAAGATTATTTAAGCTAAGGGGTCGTTTGGTTCACGGAATGTCAGATTACCTTAGGGAATGTTAGATTGCTGGGAATGTTAGATTCCTGGGAATGTTAATTCCTGTGTTTGGTTAAAATTGGGGTATGTAATATAATCATGTTTGGTTCAGGGTTATCTTTTATTGACACACTATAATATCCTTAATATATTTTCATATATTTTAATAAATTTAAAAATTAAAATAAATAAATAAGATAACAGTATCATATATAATTACATGATTTTAAAATATTGAACTTGAGAAACAAAATTATTTTATATGCTAACCTAACATAATAAAAATAAAAAATATATAATTACAAATATATATATATATATATATATATATATATATATATATATATATATATATATATATATATATATATATATGTGTGTGTGTGTGTGTAATAAACTAACATAACCAATGTTATCTTACATAACCTTAGAAATTGAAGGGAATCACATTCCCTTCAAAATCCTATGTGGAGGGAATGTGACATTCCTGGAGAATGTTAGATTCCCTGAGATAATATGAACCAAACATAGGAATGTGAGCTTTGAAATGTCACATTCCCTTGGTTATGTTATATAACCTGAACCAAACGCCCCCTTATTTATTAGAATTGAAGTATAATTTGTGGTAAATAATGTAATCTGGAATTTTGTGCGAACGCCACCGCACCACGTGCTTGTTCCCGGAGTGGCCACATGTCGGTACAGATGAAACATGGCCCACTCTGCGATAGTTTTAGCCAAAAAAAAAAATTTCTTTTAGCAAAAATTATTAGGTTTCGATTTTAATGTAAACCATCCACGTGCAGGGTTCGGTAACTTTGTTCGTCGGCAGAGACGGGGATGGGCCGGATGGCGGCATCTGGAATCCACGTGGATTCTGAGCGATCGTTATGCAATGAAACCGTGTGCACCATGTATGGTGCATACGATTGTGAACGACGTCATTTCACTTTGGTGGAGTAACGACGCCATTAGTGACACAGTTTAACTCCACCAATCAGTTGTTTGTTGTTTGTTTTTTTTTTTTTTTTTTTTTTTTTTTTTGTTTTTTTTTAACTGTACAAATATGAATATATAGTTCATTCATTCTGGATACACAGTACTTGTAACCGGTGTGAATATATAGTTCATTAATTCTGGATATATAGTTCATTAATTCTGGATATATAGTTCATTAAATCTGAATTTATAGTTTATTAATTCTGAATACATAGACGCAATGAACTGTGTGGATATATAGTTCATTAATTCTGGATATATAATTCAAATTATGCACAGCATAAAATCGTTAACGACAATTAACAATGATTTTTTTTTTAATTGAACAACGTCATTTTTAATCAAAACGACATCGTTTTATAACCGTGTGCACTATGCATGGTGCACACGGTTGCACGACATAATTTGTGGATTCTGAGTAACACTCTCATCATGTGTTTTGATTTTATTAAGGTATTCACAATTATATTTTTTCTCTTCTTTTCAGCTTAACTCATCTGCTCTATATCACCTTATAATTTCTTTCCTATTTTCTCCCTTTTTTTTTGGGCACTATTCATTCAAACCCCTACAAATCTACAATCATGTATTATTTTATTCACTTTTTATAATTAATAATTTTGATTCTAAATAATGAAATAAAAAATGAAAAAACAAATTTTAAATACTATATATATACAAAAGTTAATAAATTAAAAATTTTAAAAATAAATTTTAATATAGAAATTTATTCCTTCCCCATCTAAGCTCAAAAACCTATCCATGAATTCTGATTATTCCTTAAACCCAATTAATTCACTGACTCTACTTCCAGACACAATTGATCTTGGCCTCAAGCATCATTCCTATGCTTTGACTATCTACTCAAGTGTGCATTTTGAGTGAAGTCCTATTTATGACTTTAGCTGACAAATGATCACATGATCGAAGGTAAATTAATCTAGGTTGTTCATACTTAACCAATCAAACCAAGATGCAATGGTCAATAGGCAAATCCTTTTTCTTGCAAGAAAAAAAAAAAAAACCATTTTTAATTCCTTGATTGTGATATAGTGTAAATTTATTACCTTAGTTATTTGCGATGTAAAGTTAGGGTTAAATGAGCCACTTTATTAAGAATCAATGACCTAAATATATACTACAAATAATTAAAGGATTAAATATACATTATTATTATTGCACAAAAACTAAAAATGTTATTTTATATTAAAAAGAAATAGATTTTATCCGAAGAGAGTTTCTAACATACACCTACTAATTCATTCACAAAGTTTGAATTGAAATCTTTTTCATGAAGAAATGAATAATCAAATTCATTTCACTTATACCCACGGGTTGTAGGTTTTCCGATGAAAAAAAGATGGGTATTTTTTATAATAATAATAATATTATTATTATTATTATTATTTAGTTATGTAGTAGCTTTAGCTTGGGAATTGCATTGAAGTAGATAACTTTGGGTAAACAAATGGCAACTGCTAACAGGTAGAATGTTTTATATTTTAGACTTTACCCAATACGCAACTTGTGGCTTCACAAATTAAAATAAATAATGAGAATGTGATTCAGCTGTTTTTGGGTCAACTTCGACATGAAAGGGACGATTATTGCACAAATTTTTATTTCAAGTTTCATTTATTAATTTAATCTTAAAATATTGTTTTGATTAAAATAAATCCATCCTCATAATTTATCCTTATTCAATTATTATTAAGCATAATTTGCAAATGAGTTAATTTCACCAGAGATCTCTTGTCTTTAGTGACAATTCTAAATTTAGTTCTAGATTATTGTTTTTGTCTTTAACATCTCATATTATTGTTTTTTGGACATTTTCCTTTCATGACTTTTCCTATTTTTAATAAGGGCATTTTTATCTTTTCATAATTTTTTTTTGATTTAATTAGTTTTTTAATGTTTGATGTTTGTGTTAAGCCATAAGAGATGAGAAAGAGCCCACCTTCCCTTCTCTATCAACAATTTTGTCCCATATAATCCCCTTCCCCTTCCTTACCCCATAGCTGTCTTGTCATTATTATATTGCTGCTTAGCTTAGCTTCCTTTCTAGTCTTATTACTCGCTGCCTGCCTGCCTGCCTCTGTCCTATGCTCTTAATTGATTCAATTCCAATCCCAATTCCCAATTCCCAACAAACAAACATTCTCAAAATCAACTAACGATATGGATTTGCCTCCGGGTTTCCGATTCCACCCCACCGACGAAGAGCTCATCACTTACTACTTGACCCCAAAGGTTCTTGATACCCGCTTTTCTGCCGCGCCGGCCATTGCTGAGGTGGATTTCAACAGCGTTGAACCATGGGATTTGCCTTGTAAGTCTAGTTTTTACTTGCTAGTCTCTTTTTTATGGGGTGACACGGAGATTCGAACTCATGACCTTTGGTATAGCTCTGATAAAACACTCAACTAAAAGCTTAAGCTGATAGTTATGTTTATGTTATATTATATGCTCAACATATATATGTTGTTGAGGATGAAGGGAAGGCGAAAATGGGTGAAAAAGAATGGTATTTCTTCTGCGTGAGAGATAGGAAGTATCCGACGGGGATGAGGACCAACAGAGCCACTGGTGCAGGGTACTGGAAAGCCACTGGAAAGGATAAGGAGATTTTCAAGGCCAAAACCCTTGTTGGGATGAAGAAGACTCTGGTTTTCTACAAAGGGAGAGCACCCAGAGGTGAGAAGACTGGCTGGGTAATGCATGAATACTACAGATTAGAGGCCATGCACAATCTTCCTAAATCTGCTAAGGTAAAATGTGTCTGATCTCATCTGATCTGTTTGTTTATGGATGAATTGAATTTTTTGATTTTGATTTGGTGCAGAACGAATGGGTGATCTGTAGAGTGTTTAAGAAGAGCTCCGGGGGAAACAGAATTCCTATTTCGGGTCTGATCAGAGGTGAAAATGGCGGCAAGATGCCTCCATTAATGGAGATATCAGAAAGTTCTTCACATGTGCCCTGCTTCTCCAACTCGGTGGAGGATCAAAAGCCCCGAAACAGCGAATCCTCCGGAACCCTTTCCAATCATCGTCCGCTCATCATGCCGGCCGAACTGGACGTGGATTCCGGGATGATGATGATGCAAGATCATTCAATTCTGAAGCTTTTGTTGGGGAACAATCAAGACAGTGAAGTGGGAGGGTTGAGGCCTTGTGATGATGATGATGACCAACATTTCCTAATCACTTCAGCGCCCGGGGCGGTGGACCTGGACTGTCTCTGGAATTATCATTATTGAGTTTCAGATAACAACCATTACGTACAGAATAGTGCAATTTGGGGATGGCGAGGGAAACTGCAATTACTATCCAGATGGTGTTTATTGTGTAAATTTTGTCTTGTAACCTTAACCCGTAAAAGAATATAAGTAGTACTGTCAAAATGGGTCGGCCCATCCTATTATGCCCATCCCATTGCGGGCCTAATTTCTGGTAGACTTTTGATGGTCTAAAGTAAACCAGTCTAGATTGCACATAATTGATTCGGTTCAAACCAACAGGAGCGAGATCCGACCTCTCATAATCTTGTAATTATAAATTTGTATTCTTTGTAATTTTGGCTTGGATTACTCCAATGTGATTTAGGGACATGGGAAGATCAAGTGCTAGTGTAGTCTAGTACTAGTGTGATAATTCTTGGTTTTAATTTGTATACTTTTTTTTTTTCTCACACACTGATATGAAACTAAGCTAATTGGTTTTGTAAATACCAATCAACTGTAGTCGAAGTTGTCTTTGTCAGTCAAATATGTGGGTGGGTGTGCACGTATTGTAAGATATCTATCTTTTTCAACTTTCAGTTGAGTTTGATTAGTTTTCAAATCTTTGTTTGTTCAGTGCTACTATGCTTTCATTGTTTCAACTCTGAACTCTGATGCATTGTCATATGAGTTTACAATTTCTACGTAGAGATTTTGCTATTTTTGGTGGTTATTATGTATAGATAACTTCTACATAAAGTTAACTTTGAACTTTGTAATTGTCAAAATAAGAACATTTCTATAGAGATTTTAACTCAATTTTTACACAAATGGGAAACTTGATTTTTTTTTTTTAGGTTCTTTCTCCTCCAAGACCCAAGTTTTAAGTGGGTCCTGCAGGAGAGAGATGACTAAAGTCTATTGCCTTTGTGCGTGTATGACACACATTTAGAGCCCGGGCGCGTACAGTCTAGGCGCGTTTAACTGCATTTTCTTTAAAAGAAATTACTTTTCAACTTTTGTTTTTGGTTTTTGGTTTTTTTTTTTTTTTTTTTTTTTTTTTTTTTTTCGTCCCTCCCATATTCTTTCTCCTAGTTGGCACCTCAAAATCTAAAAAAAAAAAACTGTTGCTATTGAGGTTGCTCAGCTCTGACCGTTCTATTAATTTGGCTGGAGTTATTTCATGTTATCTTCCCCTTTAAAAAATGAAGATGTTGATGGATCAAGTAATTTTAAAAAGTTAAAAATACGAAATAGTGAGAATAACAAAATTTCACAATGTATTTTATATAAGAACTAAAGATATGGTAGCCAGCTACAGTTATAGGAAATCATGGGATAGTGTATTTTAGTTCAATGAAATGTATGTTTTGCAAGTCAAATTCAAAGTTATGAAATTGTTAGTTTGTTAGGCCACCAACCGAGTTATATTGGAAGATGATCTAAGTGGTGACCGGTGAGTGTGGAGTTTGGAGATTTTTTTTTTATTTTTCTTTAAAATTTATTTGTGAAACTAAATTGATGTTTTGTCACATGCATTGTTCGAGTTGTAATGCCATCGTCGTTTAAATGATAGTTTAAAATACTAACAATTTTGCTACAATACCAATTTGATAAGTTTATAATGATTTTATTACGAAGTATTTAATATTAACATTACTTTGGAAGAACCTCTTAAAATGTAAAAATCTTTTCAAAATAAAATTCTTAAACTCTAAACTTATTATTTTCTAATAATCTTATAGTTTTCCTTATATAATTCTTAACTAAATATATATTATATTATATATATTAGTATTTGTATACAAACATGAGTGTTCCAAAAAATATATTAGCATTATTTATACTTATCAATTAAATTATTTTATTTTAAAATATAAGGAATGTAGTATTGATTTATTATTTAAATGACAAGTATAAATAATAGCTATATATATATATATATATATATATATATATATATATATATATATATATATATATATATAAAGAAAATTACAAGATTATTCCAAAAAAAAAAAAAAAAATTAGAGCATCAGAGGTTTATTTGGGATCATGCACAGTTTTTAAGAAATACAAAGCTTACATGGATACAAGGTAAATAAGAGAGAGAAAGTTGGGGATTATCTACAAGGTTGGGGTTTATAGCAGAGATGTGCGACCCACATCATAAATAAACCAAACGTGACAACTAGCCTTGTGTGGTTGTCACGAGTGCACCCAGTGGGCGCGTGCACTGCATGCTCAGGCGCGCCTGTTTTTGTTTGTTTGTTTTTTTTTTTTCTCTCCCATCTCATATTATTTTTTCCTAATCACACTTACAAAAACTCTTCAAAAACCATAAACCACTATTATGGATGCTCTTATAAGGTTTGAAAATTTTATTTTAGAAAGATTTCTATATTTTAAAAGTTTCCTAATTTATATTATATTAAGATTCAAAAAATTAATTGCAAAATTAATAAATTGGTATCGTAATAGAACAATTATTCTTCCAAAGGCTGAACCCCAACCCTAAGGACCCGTAATAGAACAATTATTATACCATGAACCGATGTCTACCTTCGCTCTGTTTGACAAAATTTATTTAGGAGCTCATAGCTTATTTTAAGCTACTAATAAGCTATAAGCTCTGTTGGGTAATGTTCCTAAAATAAGCTCTTAGCTTAAAATAAGAGCTTATTTTGGAACGCTACCTAAGGTAGCATTTCAAAATAAGCTCATAGCTTCCTAACTTTTTTTTTTCATCTTTATCCTTATAATTTTATTAAAGAAATGACATAATTTACTCTTCCCAATTAAAACCCTTTTCTCTTCTCCTTTATCCGCAACTTTCACCACAGTTATTATTATTATTATTATTATTATTATTATTATTATTATTATTATTATTATTATTATTATTATTATTATTATTATTATTATTATTATTATGAGATTTGAAACAATATTGATACTTCATTATAAGATGCTAGATCATGATTATGCTAATAGTTTTGTTTCAAAATGTTAATTTTTTTTAAAGACAAAATGTTAAATTTTAATATGTAAACAAACTAATTTAAATTTTATGAAGATGTCCTTTTTAGTCCTTTTACATTTATCAGCTTATCAAAAAGCTAATTTTATCAAACACTTTCAATCATAATAGCTAGCTTAACAGCTCTTCAGTTTTCAACTCCGATCTTATAGCTTTTCAGCTTTCAGCTCCTAGCTTATAGCTTTTAACAGAGCTTTGTATCCCTAATATAAATTGTCATTCAGATTATGTAGCTATAGTTAACATATTATGTACATTCAAGTAATAAATTATGTGCATATTACAATTAACATATTATATATTTGCAATTAATATATTATGTACATGTTGTTAACATATTATGTATTTTTAGTTAATAAATTATGTACTTATTACAATTAACAGATTATATTCTTTCAGTTTATTTATAAGTACATAATCTATTAACTTTAGATACATAATATGTTAACTGCAGATACACAATTTAAATATATTTTTGAATCAGGTTCATAATTCATGGGACCCTGGTCCATGATATAATTTGTCGTAATACAAAGGTTAGAGTTTTAAATAATTATTTAAATGATTAAAGGTTGTTTCTTATTAATAATACTAGTATTTTATATCTGTAATACACAAAAATATATGCCCAATATTAATACTCAATGTTAAAAGCTTAGTTATATTAAAAAAAAATTAAAAATAATAGTATATTATTTTTTTAAATAATAATTGTAGAATTCGTATTATATTAAAAGTATAGTTGATCTTTTTTAAAAAAAAGTATAATTGATAATTTGAGTAAAAATTATGGTATGATTAATATTATTAAAGTAAAAATTTTCGATGTGATAAATTACTAAATATAAATATAGTAATATTTAATTAAAATATAAATGAAATTAAACTTATTTGTTATATTACTCCAATAGAGTTAATTACTGAAATGGTCCCTTAACTATTGTAAAATTATCAATTTGATCTTTGACTATTTTTTTGTCTAATTAAATCCTTAACTTTAAAATTTTTAACCAATTTGGTCCTCCGTTTGTTTAGTTGTTAGACTTCCGTTTACTCGGGACCAAATTGGTAATTTTGATATAGTCAAGGAACCATTTCAGTAATTAACTCTTCGATTTAATAAGAGAGGAAATGGTGCATGTGTTGACCGAAATGGTCCCTTGACTATAAAAAAATTATTAATTTAATCCCGAGTAAACGAAAGTCTACGGCCAAACAAACGGAGGACCAAATTAGTTAAGATTTTTTAAGTTGAAGACTAAATTATGGAAAAAAAAAAAAAAGAGGCGAGGGGGGGGGGGGGGGGGGTGTTAAGGACCAAATTGATAATTTCGCTATAGTCAAGGAACCATTTCGGTAATTAACTCTACCCCAATATATAATGTTTACATACATTATTACCATTGAAAAGTATATTAAAAGATATTGTTTATGTATATGCATGGATGATAAGGAAAAGATAACAGAAATTATAATGATAGAGATATTTTTGTCTAAAAAATTATATAGTACAACCTGACTTGAGAGCGTAATATATTAAAAAATTAACATAAAAAATAAACATAAATCAAAGATATAATCTAACTTGAAACTTATTATTTTTTAGATTTAAACAAAAATATATGATGTGACATATAATGATATGGCAAAATGTGCAATGTTTATTATAAGGAAAATATTACATGTAATCTCACTTTTTACTCCTAATTTCTACTGTCTTTCACATATCTTTGACGTAGACACTTTTTCTGAGACCCACATGTAGACAGGGCTGGATTTGAGACTGTGCAAGCTGGGCTACCGCACAGGGCCCCCAATTTTTTAGGACTCAGTATACCTAATATACCTCAAAAAAAATTTTTAAAAAAAATTACAATTAAACGTAAAAGGATTGAGAGGAAGCAGAAGAGTTCAATTCGTCTTTGGCGATGTTTCCCAATGTTTCTTCGTAAAAAAAGATTTACAATACCCCAGTTTCCCATTGTTTGTTCCAATTCTTCGTCTCCTTTGACGATTGGCAGAGGAATGGAGGATTGAGAGGAAATAAGGAATCAGAAATTCAGAAGAGTTCAATTCATCTTAGTCTTCTTCAGTGAGTCGAAGTCCGCAATTCATCTCAGTCTCTCAGTCAGTGAATCGCTACGTCCACAACTCCACACTCCACGAAGTGAAACTGACGAACGGAATTACGGAAATATGGAATCATCCGCTACTTTAGTACTTTGAACCTTATGCGTTTCTCCGTAGCATTGTAGCAAAGTAGCAATTAGGATTTAATCATTTAGGTGATTAGCAAACGGCTGCTTTTCCGGCAAATCGGCATTCGGCAATCTACCTTGAACAGTCGGCCCTGCTGCGTTTCTGGCTTTCTGCCTTCATTGCCTTGAGCCTTCTGGTTAGCAAGTCAAACCCACCGCTTTTTTTAATCTTTTTTTTTTTTGCGCTTTTGCATTTTTTTTTTTTTTGCGTTTTTTTTTTTAATAATTTATTCTGTGTTTTTTTAATCAAATTTATTTTGCGTTTTTGCAGACATGTAGAGTATAGATTGTCACAGACTCGCAGTGTTTCATTGTTTCAATCTGAAGGCAGTAGGCAGTAGCAGACGAAGAACATAAACAAAAAATTAAGGACTTTTCGATCAGGTTGTTTAAATCTTTTTTCACTTTAAATTTTTAATTTAATATAAATGTGAAATGTGTAATATGTTTGCTCCTTGCCTCTTTGTTAGAGTAGTATATTTTCATATTATGGCTCCCGGCATTAGAAAATATGAATCTGGCTATAAAAAAGTTGTTTGAATTTTTCTTCTTTATATTGAAAAATCATATATTTTACGGTATTGGTTGTAAATTATTGCCCTTATACTTTTGATAGGGGTAAAAGGCAAAAAGGGTTGTAGGGCCTCATTTCTTTACAAGAACGGGGCCACCAAAATAAAAAAACCGGCACTGCATGTAGATAGAGATAAAAATATCATATCATTGTTTGTCATGTCAGAAAATAAAAATGGAGGAGTAAAATTTCGGAATTCATGTACTAGAACTCTTACTATAATTGCGGAATAAACTCAAAATTTGGAACAACAATGGCGTGAGCAAGTATGATTCCAAACAGTTATTTTTGTTTCCAAGTCCTTGATTCAAAGCGACATTCAGATCATATATCTACTATTAACATATTATATACATTCAGTTAATAAATTATGTACCTATTATAATTAACATATTATGTACCTTCAATTAATAAATTATCCACAGATTACAATTAACGCATTATATACCTACAGTTAATATATTATGTATTTTCAGTTGGTCGAGCGCCATAGTTGTGGACCCTCAATTGAGAGGTCTCAGATTTGAATCCCATTGTGGAGGATTGACTCTTTGTGTTTCAGTAGATTGAAAAAGTATACTACATTGTAATAGAATCAATAAGTATTCAAAAAATAAATTGTAATAAAGTCAATAGTATTCAAAATATATATATATATATATATATATATATATATATATATATATATATATATTATAATTAGCATACTATGTATTTTCAATTTATTTACATTTACATCTATTAATGAAAAGTACATAATATGTTAACTATAAATACATAATTTAAATATTATTTTGAACTATAATTTATAATGCAAAGTGAACCTGGTTTATGGTATAATTTGTCACCTAAATTGTATTGGGTTTGAAAAGCAAAAGAATACAAAATTCTCGCAAAATAAAAAAAAAAATTTTTGATGTGATAATAAATAGAGTTATTTTTTTAAATGAAGAGAGAATTGCATAGATGAAGATCGAATAACGAATAATTATAAATTTTGTAATGTGACATTTTAAAAGTGAAAGAAGATTGCATGAGTGCGAATAAACTAAATATTGAGATAGGTGCAAATACCAATAACACCTCCAATGCGTTCAAAGCCCATCTATGCTCCATGATCTCCTTAAATCTCTAAGATGTCCGAGATGCACAAGATATCTAAGATATACCATAAGGCCTTGTGGGCATCCAAGTCCTTAGGGTATCATCAATAGTTAAAATTTTTGATGAGTTTTTACATGTATGACTAGAAAAGAGAAAATGAGAGGGAAGGAGAAAGGGGGAGGGGGAAAGCAAAACAAAACACGAAAAATGATTTTTTTTTTTTTTAAAAGAGAAAATATGCAGATTTACGCGCCCAGCGGATGCGTGAAGTGCACATGCCCGACTGGACGCTTGTATTGCAGCGCACGTGAATGCGACAACTTTGTTTTGCCGGACGCGTGAAGTGCACACGCCCGGCTGGGCGCTTGTATTGCAGCGCACTTGAATGCGACAACTTTTTTAATCTTGATGGGTCTAACCATTCTAATAAAAACCCATGTTTTGCATGACCCATATCTTTCTCTTTCCTCCCCCCCTTCTCTCTTCCACATAAGTATAGTCATTCTCAAAAACTGTGAAAACCAACCATTGGGAATAGCATTAGAGCATCCACAATAGTTGTAGTTTAGAGTTAATTCCAGCAATAGTCCTCCGACTATAGTGATTTTTCAAAATTAGTCCCCGACTTTTAATTTAGACACTTTAGGTCCCTTAACTTTCAATTTATTTCCAATTGAGGTCCTTTCATTAGAATATGGTTCATTAGACTTTAAATGAAGGGGTAAACTCGTCCTTTCACATGCCTATGTATTATTCTTCGTATTTCTCCCTTCGTATTTCTCTGTTATACCTTGTAAACATCTCAATAATAAAGGAACGCACACACGAGTAGTCAGCAAATGGGGAACGACGAGGAACATTTTAAGGTTTCGACTAAGATTATCTTCATATATATCGCGTATACAATGGAGAAATACTAAGAATAATACATAGGCAGGTGAAATGATGAGTTTACCCCTTCATTTAAAATTCAATTAACTGTATTCAGACGAAAGGACCTCAATTGGAAAGAAATTAAAAGTCAAGGGACCTAAAGTGTCCAAATTAAAAGTCAATGACTAATTTTGGAAAATCAATATAGTCGGAGGACCATTGCTGGAATTAACTCTGTAGTTTATTAGAAAGAGTTTTTGTAGGTATAACTAAGAAAGGGAAGATGGTGGAAGGAAAAATGAAAAAAGAAAAACAAAGAAAACATAACTGTCAATAAAAAAAATTAAAAGAAGTAATTATGCGCCAAGAATACACCCATTTTCTGGACGTGCTTGTGCGCTCAACGCATAGGACAACCAAACTTTTATACATTTTCTTTCCTATTGGGGCTCACAAAAAACCAATTTTCCTGTAAATACAATTTCTTATCTCTCGTCTCTCATCTCTCATCAAAATTATCTTATCTTACTTCCAAGTCATAAAAAAAAATTTTAAAAAAAAACCATGAAAAAACTATTGATGTTGACTTTTTGTTAGTTTTTTATGGGGGCAATTTTGATCTCCTACCAGGCAAGAATTTTTGTGAGCCCCAAAGAGAGAGAAGGAGAGAGGAATGGCGGGCAATTCGTGCGCGTCTTGCGCACAACGGGGCTTAGCCGAGAGCGTACAATGCAGGCGTTAACTAGGTAGTTTTTTTTCCTATTTTGTGTCAGATGGCTTTTTTTGTCTTCTTTTTCTTACTTTTTTTCCATCCTCTCTCCCCTAATTGGACCATCAAAAACTATGAAAAGACTAGTTTGCTCCATGTTCAAATCCTAATGTTATCTCTCATGGTCCATATTTTCTCCAAGGCATCATACTAGTGCAGAAATGACCAAAGGCATCATACACTTAAGTACAAAAATGACCAAACAAATATGTAGTAAAATACAATTTGGCATTGTACTACCACATATGCATATGGCACAGACATGAAAATTATGACTCAAGTGTCAAAAGAATATTTGATACTTTCCTATCAATTAAATTCTCGGAAAAATATTATCCAATAAATATATTTGTTGAGAAAATTAATTAGCATGAAAATATAATAATTAAACTAAACTTGAAAAATAAATTCACACATTTAATTAATTTAAATTTTCCAATTTTTTTTTAAATCTCTAATATATCCTTACTATATACAAACATAAAACTTTAATTAACAAACAATAGTTTACAATGCATAACAAATAATCATGAACTAATACACACTACTGCATACCTAAAAACAAATTTAAAAACAAATTTTATATATATATATATATATATATATGTGTGTGTGTGCGCGCACAATGATGAATGTGTCAAATTTTTCATACTTATAAGAGATTTATAACATGACAAGCATGACATTATAAAAATGATAATTGATAAAAATGATAACTGACAAGCATGATATAACAATTGTATTTATTAGCATGCATACATTTATATGCACAAGTAAATAAAACCCCCAATACAAATACAAGTAAACCATGAAAGCATAACATCAATAATAATAATAATCAAACACATTTAAGTATTTAACGCAATACCATTAAAAACAACAAACAAGATAGTTGCATACATAAGTGCAAGAAAAGCACAAAAGTTTGAACACCATCCCAAACATGTGGGACTTTATTACAGCAGCCTGAGAAGCAAACCACATACATTCTTATAGTTCAATGTAGACAAATTCAAAAACACATATAATATGAGGGAAATTTATTATTAAGGCAGGAAATAGGAATCCTGTTGGGAAGGCAACCTGCCAATTATGCTTAATCATTATACTGCACGCGATGGTGGTGATGGTGATGCCTCTCACGCTCCTCATCATCTTCATCCCTACCCCCCTGCAAATTGTTAAAATAACAAATTAAGATAAACCCTAAGTTGCTGGGATATTCAACCGCTTTGAAACCTACTAGAAAACAGAAAAAAGCATAAAGAAATCATATAAAAAACTGGAGAAGAGATTGAAATGGCTCACATATTTCTTGCGACCATAGCTGTCATCATCATCATCATCATCACGCCTCTGCCTGCGACCATAGCTCTCATCATCATCATCATTACGCCTCTGGTAGCTAGGTTTCCTGTACTCCTCTTCATCATTGGACCTTCCATAGCTAGGTTTCCGGTACTCATCTTCATCACTGGACCTTCCATAGCTAGGTTTCCTGTACTCCTCTTCATCATTGGACCTTCCATAGCTAGGTTTCCTGTACTCCTCTTCATCATTGGACCTTCCATAGCTAGGTTTCCGGTACTCCTCTTCATCATTGGACCTTCCATAGCTAGGCCTATCATAGGAAGATCTCCCATAACCTTCACTCTCCTCAGAACGGCCATAGCTAGGCCTGTCCTCCTCCCGCCCATAGCTTGGCTTCCTACCGGATCCATACTCGGATTCGGATTCGTTACGACGCCCATATCCAGATCCGTATTCGGATCCTCCCTCTTCGTATGAAGGTTTCCGCCTATTGCCAGATCCGTACTCGGAATCGGGCCTTTCGTCTTCGTTCCTGCGTCCATATCCGGATCCATATTCAGAACTCGGCTTACGGCCATGCCCCGATCCATATTCAGAATCGGGTCTCTCATACCCCGATCCATATTCAGAACTGGGCCTCTGTTGCTCTGGTCTACGACCATATCCACCTTCAGATCCGTACTCGGATTCACCACCATAGCCTCCTCCTCCACCGGGGCGACGATTATAACCCGCCTCGGATGAGCCCCCATAGGAAGGGCCGGGTCGAGGCTTGGGTTTGGCATAGCTCTTGTACTCGTTGTCAAGAGCCTCGTCGGCATAGGCAGATGGCTCAGCATGGGAGGTGTATTGGGGACGATCATAGTCAAAGTCGCCGGAGGCGGAGGAGATGGGATAGCAGGTCTCCTCCGATGGCGAAATGGGACGGCCGTACGTCACAGTAATGTCGTATCCACCGTCGTAAGGAGTTGGATCGAACTCATCGAAGTCGTCGACGTCATCGTCGCCGGCGTGGTGGCCTTTCGGGTAGTAAGACATGGTTGATTTTGGTTCTTCTGGAGCTGCTTGCTTTGGATAAGCGATGTCGACAAATCAATCAACCTAGATTTATTAATCAGGCGCGACAGATTAAACGGCGTCGTTTTCCCCGGATCACGAAATTCACGGCGTGGCTCACTGCCACGTCATCCAGTTTTGTTTTCTGTTTCTCACTCTGTCATTTAATTTTTGCCAATACAATAATACATCCCCAATTTTTTTATTTTTTTTTGAAGTGACGAAGAGTACTCGTACTTACTATTTGTAGTGTATATTGAATAAATTTTATCTTGTAATTTAAGTCGGTGAAGGATGACAATAAAGTAAATCAATCTATTGTATATACATGATCGGATCAAATCAAGAAAATTGATATTCGAACGCGTGATATTGTGACTACAAGTTTGTATCATTAGCCAATGATTTAATACTCAAAATTGTCCTCGGCTATAATGATTTTTCTCAATTTTGTCCTAAACGATTTTGATGACCTAATGTACTTCCGGACTTTTATGTTTTTGCTCAATTTAATCATCCGTTTGTTATTCCGTCAAATTGGTGTTAAGTAAAGGGACAATTCAGTAATCTCAATATTGGTCTCTATCTACTCTTAGCCCTGCGAAGTGCGAAATCTCTATTTCTTTTACCAATTTTATATTCGTAGGTTGATGAGTAATTCGTAAAATAAAGAGAAATTTCTCGTAGTCTAGGAGTAAAGAGATGTCAATATTGAAATTACTGAATTGTCTCTCTATTTAACACCAAATGGACAGAATAACAAACAAAGAATTAAATTGAGTAAAAATACAAAAGTTGGAGACTACATTAGGTCACCAAAGTCATTTAGGACGAAATTGAAAAAAAAAATCATTATAATCTAAGATCATTTTTGGGTATTAACTCATTAACCGATACACTTCTAAGTTTTGAAAAATTAAGATGATGAATTACAATTTATATCATGGACTAGGGTCTATATAGCATTATGGACCCTGGATCAAAACGATGAGTTACAGAATTCATACTTGTAAAGTACAGAATTTCATAACACAATATACAAAAAATCACAATACAGGACACATACACATGTTATATATTTACTTGTTTTCAAATATGATTTAGGTACATAATTTATGTTTATAGGCATTGAATTTCATAACACAAAACACAAAAATTATAACAACACAATTACTAATTTGTTTTAAGCACAAAATTTATACTATTAAAATTCATAATTTCGTAACACAAGACACAAAAACTTATAGCATAAAACATATACACATGCACAAAGGTCCATAGTACACCGTAAAGGGTTAATGGTATAAGGATTGATTATGAATGTCTTTAAAAAAAAAAAAAAAAGATGATGAAAGAATTACAATTGTTATACCATGGACCAGGATTCATATTGCATTTCTCATAATGTACTTTCAGTTAACACATTATGTACCTACAGTTAATAGTTTTTATACATGTAAATAAAAAACTTGATAATTGCAGATACATAATATGATAACTACAGGTACATAAACTATCAACTGCAAATACAGAATGTGACAATTATAAATACAGAATCTAAAAGTTATTTTTGGATCATGATCGGCAATACAAGATAGACCTTAGGGGGCGTTTGGTTTAGGTTATATAAGATAACCAAGGGAATGTGACATTCCAAAGCTCACATTCCGGTGTTTGGTTCATATTATCTCAGGGAATCTAACATTCCCAAGGAATGTCACATTCCCTCCACATAGGATTTTGAAGAGAATGTGATTCCCTTCAAAATCTTAGGTAATCTAAGATAACCTTGGTTATGTTAGTTATATATATATATATATATATATATATATATATATATATATATATATATATTTTTTTTTTTATTATGTTATGTTAGTTTATAAAATAATTTTGTTTCTCAAGTTCAAGATTTTAGTTAATATTTTAAAATCATGTGATTATATATGATACCGTTATCTTATTTATTTATTTTAATTTTTAAATTTATTAAAATATATGAAAATATGTTAAGGATATTATAGTGTGTATAAAAGATAACCCTAAACTAAACATCATTATATTACATACCTCAATTTTAACCAAACACAGGAATCTAACATTCCCAGTAATCTAACATTCCCAGCAATCTAACATTCCCTAAGGTAATCTTACATTCCGTGAACCAAACGACCCCTTAGTCCATGGTATAATTTGCCAAAGAATTATTAGTGGGCTTGGATCCCATTAAAAGCCCAGCCCATTAGAAAGAACTCCTTAACAAACGAAAAGGAAGAAGAATTTACATGGCGCAAACGCAGCATAGTCGATACTAGTTATTGACAATTGTTAAACAGAAGAGGAACACGTCGGACCACTGCTACCGTTCCGCCTCCGCCTCCGCCGCGGGTTACGCCGTCGCGAAGGGTATTTGAATGCTTGCACTCTTGTTCTTGTATATTGTGAACCCTATAGTTTGGATTCCCACGCTGAATATATTGTATTTCCCTGTAAAAATGCCTAGTTTATTTTCTTGGTTTGTAGTTCATAATAATTTGACCGGTTAGAGATATGAGGGTTTGGTTAATCTTGGTTTTGGAGAGCCGTTATGTGTTGAGCATCAAATTCTTTCATACTTCACTCACATCTCCCTCCAAGTGAGAGTTTTGGATGTGCATGCAGTTAAGCTGAAGATTGGAAGAAAACAAAAAAAATTCAATTTCGCAATAAACCATGGAAATGTCAAAATCTGGGAAACCTTTTTTGTGCATTTTCACTTCCATCTGTTTTTAACTGATATTCCAGCAATCAGAGTTTCATTTTTTGGTTAATGCTTGGGTTAGATCCTGAACTAGAACTAGTAGATAACCCTGGGGGATTTTACACTGATTTAGGGTTGTGTTACACTTAACATTTTTGTTTTTGTTTTTGTTTTAAAACTTGCTTTCAGGATTATGAAGCGGATGCAGTTAAAAATAACTGATTTAAACTATGATGTTTTGAAACATGTAGTGCACTATGTAGTGATATCGTCTGATGGAGCCGAGAACCTTGCCAGTGTGATATCTGTGTGAGTATTGATTTCAGAAAGTCGTTGAGAGTCGTATGGTATTTCCTTGGCAACTGAGTACAGGACTGGCTTTGTTTATAGTTGCAGGTTGTTTAAGGAAGTTGCCAATGATCCGGACATCTTGAAAGCTGTAACATTTGATGATATTAAGCTCCCTGCTATCCCTGGGTCATTTTGGCAACCTTCGGGCCTTTTATGTACTTGTGTAGCCAAAGGAAACCGGAGTGCTTCTGACAAAGTAACTGATTATGCAGAAATGCTCAATGCAACTCATAAGGTCCTTAAAAGGGATATGTTCCGTGCAAAGATGGTATAAAGTATAAACTATAAAGCCTATTGGCACATGTTTCTTTTTCTCCCCTTACTATTGTTTTGACTAAGAATAGGGGGTTTATCTGCAGATTCTCATGGCGAGAAATAGAGCGGTTGAAACTGTAAATACAAGGGCGAGGAAGAAGGCCCTGGATTCAGCAATAGATGTTGGTATTTTGACTGCAATCATTTCATTTTTCGGGTAGTTCCAGCTAGTATATAACTAACAAAGATGGGCTCACACGATGTTTAAACCTTGAAATGTACAAGCAGGAGTGCACGAAGACCTGTGATGCTGTTGATGCTCAACTACAAAGAACGGAGCAGTTCTTGGAGATGCTCAATGCAGTGCAGAGAGGTACTAAGCACGCTAAATGAACGGCTTTTGCTGGTCTAGAAGAGCTATTCATATTACTGGTGTAAATTTGCAGAGAAACTACTTCTTCCGGAATGCAGCGGGAGCTGTGGGATATCGTAGAAATATGCAAGCTAAAGATCTCATTCCCGGGGAGGGTCGTATTGTTTTTATTTCAATTGTTGGCAGAAGAAGATGACATTGAAGAGGCCTTAGCCTATCTCTCCTCAAAACATATAGCCATGTATGTAATTTCGAGGCTGCTAGAGGATTTTTGCTTTCGGTTTGTAGTGCTATTGTTCTAGCTTTCTACATCATATGGTCTTATCAATTTTTGCTAGAATTCTGCTTTTTGTCATTTCCATTCCTTTCAAGCTCTTCATAGAACCAGATACAACTCAGCCGAGAAGTACTCAAGTACTCTAACCAACCTTCAAATCTTATTTATTACACGCCAGAAAATGTATGTTTCAATCACAGGGGGCTGGGGAGCATCATCATATAATATAATTATTATAAGCATTAAGCAATAATCAGCATCACTATTCCAAATAAATACTTCTACAAAGGTGCCGTTTTCTTCTAGCGCACGTACCACTAAGTCCTTTCGCTTTTTTGTTTTATAGCCTATAGCCTATGGGAAAAGCATTCCCAAATAATATAATAATATTTATTAAAATATAAGATATAAGATTAGAAATATAAACTAATAAGAAAAAGAAAAAAGATACTGGCCCTGTTTGGTAAAATGGCGGTTAGCTGATAGCTGATAGTTGTTGGCTGATTGTGTTAATTAGAGGGTATAAATAGTTGATAACATAATTAGAGGGTATAAATAGTTGATAACATTAACTGATTGTAGAAAAGTGTTTGGTAAATTAGCTGTTAGCTGATAGCTGTTTGGTATAATTTCTTTTCTCAAAAAGCTAATTAAAAAAGTTGCTTGGAGTAGCTTTTTGAATTTTAGCCTTTTGGAGTTGCAAAAAGTTAATTAACCAAACATTTACATTGATATTTTAACTAAATCAAACAATTAATAGTGATCAAATAAGCCAAAATTAGCCTATAGGCTAAATTTTTACCAAACAGGGCCACTATGTTTTTTTAGTACTATTGTAGTATCTTTCTCAACTTATTGAAACACAAAAAATCAATATCATCTCCACTAAAACTCAAACCCATGATCTTTCATTTGGAAGAGTCAATTTGTGCCACTAGACCACATAATTGATTCTCTGATTATATTAAGTATAATCTAGAAATGACAAATTTCAATCAATCCCGCAAATATACCTAGTAATGGAGATGGAGATGGAGAAAGGCGTCGCAGTCAAGGGCGGAGCCAGGATTTGTTGGTGCGGGGGGCCGAGTTCGCCGCCACTCCCGACAGGATCCAGTTGCCACTGCTCATAGCCGGTAGCCCGAGTTCACCGTGGTTGCCGTCGTGAGTCGTCAATTGAGGAAACGAAAGAGAGGATTTAGCCCGAATTCACCGCGATTGTTGTAATTTGTGAAGATGATGAATCCATCTCCAATAAAAAAATAATTCATAGAAAAATTTCAAGGATTTAAAGAATAAAAAAGAAATGAAAAATTACATTTTATACTTGCAAGTAGAAAATTGAAGAGAATCTATTGTCTGGAATGTCTGCATACTACGTTTGCGTTTTTGGTTTGCAGATTAGGAATTTGGATGGTTTGTGTATTATACTTACTTTGGAAATTTTCTTTTAGGGGAAAAATATTTGGTGATGGACTGATGAAGGTCGACACAATAGCTATTAAGCCTATTAACCTAATTATAATACTAATTAAAAAAAAAAATTGGAGGGGCCAAGCCGCAATGCCCATGCTGTGTAGCCTGTGATGCTACTAACAAAAAAAAAAAAAAAAAAAAAAAAAAAAAAAAAAACTTTTTTAGGGAGGGGGAGGGGGGGGGGAGCGGGTAGGGGCAACGCCCCCTCCTACTAAAAGATGGCTCCGCCACTCATAGTCATGCACTCCATAATCCATTACTCGAATTGATCAGAAAAGACTAAGCTAGACATAATTCAAGGCCAGTTTTTGGCTCGTACATTATGCCCAATAATACAGGGTCTCAATTTTAAAAGGCTCAGTATTCATTTTTGACCTAGTTATTTAAACCCACATTCCTTACCTCTTTCTACCTTACTTAAAACTCATCAATTTTTATCCCCAAATCACGTACCACCATTGAAGAGGACAAGATTTTTCCTTCATTAATTTTACAACTTTTAGTAGGGTCTTAAATAATGGATTCACAAAGACGACCCTGACATAACTTCAACCAAGAAATGATACAACGTGGTGAGGGAGACTACAGATATTTAAGGAGTTACAGTTCTACACCGAAATAGAATAGAATTAACATTTCCTCTACAATCTCAATTAAGCAATATCACCAAAGTATATGCTTGCCAGAAGGGCCTATTTGTAGCATTATAGTATAGTATTAGTATAGTACATAAAATAACAAATATCTTTTCAATTTGACTATAACAAAGTCTAGAGCAGCAACAAAATTTACAAGGCAATCGCCTCCTACACTCGTTCAGTCACAGACCAGAAGTACCATCTTGTACTTAGCTTCATAAACCCTTCAATGATACAACAGTAACTTTTTTTTTTACCTGCCCGGCAACACAAGTCGTGATTCCCCTAGTGGATGGAGCTAGCAGAAAATGCACTCCAACTTCCTTCCGCCACTTGGAATTTCAAATCGGATTGATTGTTTACCCATCACGGCTTTAAGCTGTTGTCTCGCTTGATGCAACTAGAACATTGCTGCCTGGTAAGGGACTACTACATCCTGGCTGGGCATTCTTCGTTTGAAACTCCTCCAATTCATTGGTGGAATAAATTTCTGATTGAAGAGATGGCACTATATTCTTCACATGCAACCAAGTTAGTTGCCAGAAACTGTCCCCCCCAGCAGAATCACTTGGCGAAAGAATTCCACTTGTCTTCATGACAAGCAACGTGTTTTTAAGAAGCTCTGGAACAAGTTCATGGATTTTGTCACTCCGCTTCCCTCTGAAGTTCATCTTTATGCATCTCTCAGTGCGACCAAGAACCCCTAACCAAAGTTTGCAGAAAGCTGTAGCCTGTGAGAGATCCTGGAGACACTGCAAAAACACTTTTGACATGAGCTTCAGGGACAAAACAATTGCCCCTTCAATTTTTCTATATTCCTTCACAGAGTTCTGCTGTGCAGTTTCAAGTAAATCATCCAGCAATGTGAAGATCACTTGATCAAAGCATTGCAACCACAAGTCATTTGGTATATGGATACTATCAACTCCCGTTAAGCACCTTTGCAACATCAAAATAGCATGATTCCTTACTTCATCTCTTGGGTCCAAACATACTTTCCTTAGCCCCTGTACCAGTCTCAGCCACATCTCCCATATATCCTGAGCCAATTTTGTAGCAGCCTCCTCCACAAGACCTTCCTTTGTCTTCTGAGACCATCTCAAAAGACAATTAACTGAACTTGCCATCAGATCCAATGATTTTACTGACCGGTCATCATTTGCCACTCGGGACTCTGCAAACTGCCTGGCTGCATTAATGCAAAGGACATAATTTGCAGGTAAGAGGTGGGCCCCGTCAGCCATGATAAAAGACAGTGTCTCAAACCCGGCCTCTGATGCCTCTGGATGCCTAGCTGTAATTGAAAGCAGTGAAATGATTATCCGCCAGCCCATGTTAGATCGTATCTGTATTGCATTTGCTTTCACAAGGTGCATAACTTCCTGTATTATCTGTTCAAGATATGCATCAGCAACCCGAGCATCCAGTTTCAGTACCAGTTGCAGAGAGTTTAGAAGCTCATCAGTTAGGTTCTCCTTGTAAGGAAGTAACCGCTGGCATATGCGAAGCAACCCAAAAACAGCCTTCTCAACCAGAGCACAAGGCATTACAGTTGACTGGACAATACTGACAATGTACTCATAAACATCTTGCCACAGAAGCATAATCCTATCTCTATTATTTAGAGAAATTGCAACCAGCAACTCCAAACAAAATATTGCAGTCTCTTCATCTTCCAAACGGTGATTTCCTTTGCGAGGCTGTTCTGCAGCTGAAACGAGCATCCGAACAAGTTGCAGTAAGGAATCGGCTTGCAGAAATTTACTCTCAGCAAAGATGTTATCAATGTGACAACTTTGTACTGTTTGGACAGTGCGCTGATGAGCAGCAACATGTTCTTCACTTGGCTGAGGTACAGGTTCTTCAGTATCTAGATATAAAAGCTGGCTAAATCGGCCTATTAAACCAGACGGCTTCCTAGAAGTGGCTCGTACAGGAATATTGGATGCTGGTGGGGAAACAACAACAGATTTCCGTTGATCTAGATCAGATGAAGATTCCGGATCATCAGTTGCATCACTAACAAGGCAAGAAGGAAGAAGGCCTAATCTCTGCAAACTTAAAATGCAATCCAGTATGTTTTTCCAACTAGTGTGAATATGGTCACCGTAATTGTTTGCTATTGTGAAAACTGCAGTAGTGGCCATTCTAGCTTTAATGTCATCTCCGAATTTAAGAATAAACTCTTCAAAGTAGGATGGAAGCAACAAGGATGTGAATTTGCAAAGTGATACAACCAAATCATCCAAAACTTCATCGAAATTATAGGCAGCTGTGATCTTAGCAGTGGCCAAGAATCCATCAATACATGTCTGAAAAACATCCTCCTGCTCTGCATGATCAAAAACCACACAGATGGCAGCAATTGTGTGCCTAGACAGTATTGCAAACATTTGACTATCAAGATAAGGTCCTGGTTCACATACTATGAATGGGTTAGTATGCTTTGATCTGTGTACTAGACCAATCCAATAGCTTGCCATCATAACAGAGACTCCAGCATCTGCATCAGGGGTCATCCGGATCTCATTCTTACATATGGAGTGGTAAAGCTCAGAGAGAAACTCTCGTGGAAGGTCATTCCCTCCATTTATTCTCCGATTGTTACGAATGAAATCTTCTTCTGTCATCTTCTTCTTAACCTGAGTATTGTGTTGATCTGTGTTAAGCAGTATAAGTGAATACGACAGCAGGAGAGCAGCATCTTTATTTGCCAGAATATTTGGCGATTGTTCATAATATCTCTCAGAGAATGCTTCAAGCACCCTCTGTATTTTTTGTGACTCTCCAGGCAATCGAAAACTTTCCAGAAAGATCCGAAGTGCTGTATCCAAAGTAATGTCCTGAAAATCAAATGTCCTAGCAAATTCATGAAGCACTTCAATGCAAAATTCATCATGGCTCCCTAAGAAATCTCCAACAACATTTTTATCTAATCCAGTTGTGTATCTGAAAAAGCAGGCCACACTCATGGGGTCAATTTTATCAGGTAACAAATGCACTCCTTGAAGAAACTCCAGACCCTTCTTTGGATCTCGGTTGAAGTGATCAACACCAGTCATCAATTTCCTCTTAATGTGCTTCATCCTATGCACAAATGGAACCCAATGAACAGGATCACTGTAGTCATCACATACCTTTGTCCAGAATGGCTTATATTCTTCAAGGTCTAATGAAGTAGGTTCAGGAACTGGTAAACCATTACCAATTCTTTCACTCATGCCCTGGATCACAGAAATTAGGCCATCCAGTGCAAGAGTATTCATTGCTGATAAGGGGTCATTCACTGGAAAAGAGCTCTTTGATAAGAGGTTAGCAAAGTCTTCAAAAATATTGCTGCAGGATATATCACAGTCAAAATTGGCATACATCTCTGTCATGAACATATGCTGCCGGCAGAAATCAACAAGAGTTTCCATAGCAACCTCCTGCAGTTGGTATGAAGTGTCATGCTTACTATGTGCTATCCTCAAAAGCACACCAGAGAAAAAAGCTTCAAGTTGTAGTTTCAACTTAGTACGTAGATGATGATATAAATTAAGAACGATGCTACAAACTGTTGAAAGGATTAGTGGACTCATCGACAAGCCAAAGCGCATCAAGTTATGGAATAGCTCCTCCTGTATCAGGGACAATAATTCTGGATGACTTCCAAAAGAATCACCACCTAATTCTATTGCTGAATTAATTAAACCCAGTGCAAAAAGGGGAACATCTTCATCATATGCTATAGCATTCAATCTGGGACCAATTTCCATGTGATCCAACACATTCAGAAGGGAGCACAGGAAATGAAGTATCTCCACCATGCAAGGGATTCCATAAGGTTCCATCATGGATCGCTCTCCACTATTAGAATTCTCTTTCCTATGGCCAACCTCATTTGTTGCTTCATCCTCCTTATTTCCTGATGTGACTGGGGACATATTTGTAGGAAAGAGACCAGATGGCATCTTGCCATCAGATTCTGCATTAAAATGTCCATTGTCTCCAGAAGTTTGACCCACCATAGGCACACTACCCTGGAATATATGTTCTTGAGTGAAAAATAAAGCAAGGTATAAATTTCAAAAATTTAAAAACTTAAGTTCCATCCTGCCACCAAACTTGGTTTCACACTACAAGTTTCAAAAAAAATAAAAAATAAAAAAAATAAAAAAAATAGAACTCAATAAAAATTGAAACCCTGAGCTTTAGCTATCATAACAAATGAGCACTCCACATGGATGCTAATCCACATACCCAAATGAAAAAATAAAAATTGACATACTGTCACTGTTTAAAATGACTGTCAAAAAGCAGTGATAAGTAAATGTCTTTGTAGGCAGCCTAAGGTAGCATGGCGCCAATTTCCTCTAGATGGTAAACATGTTATATCTCTGAAGTGAAGATATCATCGTTCAAGTGAAGAAAGGATAGAAAGGTGTATTATCATTCTTACCTCGGGGATAGCACATGATCTCCTTCCCTGAGCCAGAGCACCTTCTTTGGTGTCAATATCAGGCAGATGATAAAATATACACCTAACTAATTCATGCATTGTATGGCGGGCTATCCTCTGTAAGAGTTCACTTTTGACACTTGCTTGATGGACCAATCGGAAGCACGTAGTTACTATGTTGCATACATGATGGTTACTCAAATAAACAGATGCCTTGTTTTTCATGCAAGCCAAAAGAACCTGAAGAATCTTCATTAGCACCACTTCTTCAGATGCAGGATCAGTCACTTCAAAACGACAGCTTGTCACAGCATCAACTATCTGACACAAAGCTTTATCTACATTTATTGTAGATGAATCAAGTATTTCTAGGGTCAAGAATTTGTATATGGAAGACAAAGCAACACCAGTGATTGGTGCAGAAGTTTCATCAGACTGCGTTACATCAAGAAAAGGCTGGAGATAAGCCAGTGGATCAATATTGTTCCATTGATGTTGCCATGAGAATACTTTTTTCCTCAGGTCCTTGAAGGATTGCAGCAGTGAATGTTCTAACTGATCATCATCAGCAGCATAATGAACTCCCCAGCGTACATTTCTTCTCATCACAGCTAAAACCGCACCAATTTCTGAATTCACAATACATGCCAAGGCACGCTTGGAAGGCTTCTGCCTGTCACATGGCGGTTCCATGCAGATACCATTGACTTCACTCTGCTGATTCAGGCACCCCATATTGGCTTAGCTACCCAACAGGTCCTCCTCAGATACAGAGAGAGTCAATAATATACCGTGTGAAATAAAGTACCATAAAACCGCAAATTTGTATCTGTGGAAGTAATATGGAAATTATTTAGTTTATTTAACAATGCACTAAAACCTAAGAACCTTAACGAAACATACAGAAAAATGTATTTGAAATAATTTTAAAACATTAAGTAAGATGGCAATAAACCAGATGCTATTAAAAGATCACAATGAAAGCTTTCACAACAATCACTAATTACAACTACACATCCAATTTTACCGGGATATAAACCATAGTATTTGCTCACAATAACAAAATAATTTCGCCGCAAGCCTCTGTAAACCCCTCCAAACATGATTAAAAAAAACAATTGCATATTTCTCATAAAATCGTGAAAATAACCTAATTTCATCTTCAAATTTTCTAAGCAAAAAAATTATGATCCAGAAAAACTAAAAGTAATAACAATAGATATAAGAGAGACCAATTATATTAACTTAAATTTGGAAAAAAAAACGAAATCGAAAAGCGTGCATCAAATAATCTAGAGCATGAAATCCGGAAGGGTAGATCTAGATCAGTGGCGGTTTAAATCAAACGAGCATAGCAACTAATGGCGAGACGGAAATTGCATGCCTCAATTGGGAGTTGAAGCGAAGAGGTAAAGCGGCACCGATCGGATCCACAGGAAAGATGCTGGTCAAACCAGGTAGACACAGCTGACCGGGGAAGAGAGCTGTTCGTCGGCGGCCGACGGGACAAACCTTGGCATTTGATGCCTGATGTCTGAGTCAAATCACCAAATTTTTATGAAAATTGGTCGGGGCTCGCGAAAGGGGAAAATAAGAAATCAGAAATATGTCAAATAATCCGTAATTAGGCATGTGATACACATTAAATTTTAATACTCCGTATGATATAACATAGTTAATTTATCAATCAATTTTAATTTATTTAACTACTATTACTTCATATTTATTTTTTATAAAATTATTTTGCATGTAATCAGCTATCAACTAACAGCTAATTTGTCAAACATTTTTTCTATAATCACACTATCAGGTAATAGCTAACGACTAATTTACCACGTTTATCACGTTTTTGTCCTCCCTAACCTTGTCGTCAATTGTCATGTCTTGGTTTAGGAATTTTAATTCGATTATGTTTTAGTGCAAGCACGAAACACGCTATCTATTTAAATTCCCACAACTCTTAGGATTAACTAACCCATGTATATGTGCCATTCACATGGAACATTTCCCCTGGGCAGCCTTCAAAGTTCTCATTTGAATATTTGCTACTACAACCAAGATCTGAATCAACAACCACTTTGCGTATGCTCACGCTCATGATTTTTGCGATGATTGTTGCGCTCTCCTGCTCACCGGGGCTTGCCTCTTGCCCCAATAAGTGAGTATATGTCGCACACTTAACTACCATCCATTTTTAGGGTTAGCTGATTTGATATGTGAGTTGTTAAGTGTTACACACTCATTAGTGAATTTCAACTTCCACGACTACCATATTGTAATTTTAATCGACCAACACCTTTTATATGATCTAGGTTAGTGTGCATTTGATTCCATGGTGTAACTCAAAGGAGCAGTCACATTGCCCTATCTATTTAAAGTTAATTTGATAATAGGTCGGGAGAGCGATATAGCTCAATACCTTTAATCATTGATTTTACCCCATAAAATTTTTACGCTAGCTCCATCTAATCTTGAGAGAAACTTCAAAGTAATATTATAATCATTAATTAATTAAATCTAAATTAAATATATAGAATGGTTTAATTAATAATATAAAGAAAATACTTGGTGTACTCTCATTTTATATTCTCAACTTGTATTTTCTTTCACATGTTTTTTATGTAGACACTCTTCTATAGACTCACATGATAAAAAATAATCAATCATAATTTGTCGCTCAGGAAGAAATAGAAGTAAGTGAGTAGAATTTGAGAGTTTGCATAGTAGAACTCATAATATAATATGGAGTACAAATTTGTATTTTTATTAGTTTTCCAAAATATCAATAATTTCAGGTCACAGTATAATTTTTTCAAAGTCATGCAAATTTAGTGGAAAAAGATAAGAAGTAACAACAAAAACTCATGGGGCCATTGCAGAATTAATTCATGTTTGTATATTAATTCACGAATAGCGGAGGTGACGAGGGAGGTTGGTAAAGATGATGAATCGGCCATTAACTGAGAAAACACCTCTATCCTCCTCTCGTTCTCTCTCTCCATTTTACTCGCTCTATGCATATTATCAGTCTTTCTTTATATACATATATATACATTCATGGGTACATAGATACATAATTCGTTGAGAAAGAGAAGGGTTGGGACCTTGCAGGGTCCTGCGCATCTGACCCGTTTACCCGTTGCCTCTCTCTCTCCCTGGGTTTCTTTTGATCTCCAGAGGGAGGGAGACCGGCCGCCTCTGTTGTCCCCATACAATAGGTAAAAGAACTGTGTGTATAAATTATGTGTATATTGATCTAATGACATTATATAATGATATGGGTAGGCTTTGCATTTCGGATAGGAACATTTTTCTTTATACATATCGTGTTAGTTTCTTTCTTTTTGTGAAAGTATAAGTTTAATATTGCTTTAATCTGTGAGATTTGAATAAAGTTGATGGCTTTATTTTAATTCCCATCTTTTGAGTCCACCTAATACTGCTTTCCTGTAGGTGATAATCTTTTAGTTTGCCCTTTTTTTTCTTTTTTTCTTTTTTTTTTTTTTGTTTCATTTAAATAGTAAGAATTATCCTTCTTGATAATGCCTAACTATTATTTATGTTTTATTCTGGGGAATGGTCTTTTTCCACTAATGATTTCCAGTTTTATCTTAGTTGCTTGGTAGTTGCTATTTGTTTGTTTGCCTCATTCTCCTTTTTGGAACTTTCTGCTTTCATTTTCATGTCATCTTACTCTCTACGGCTCCTCAATGTGAACCCACACCAATTTGGTTATGCTTCTGTTTGTTTGTATGCTTGATTGATTGTGATACACTACCACCCATTTTATTCTTTTGGAATTTGTTCATGATTTCCCTTTTTGACATTGATCCATTTTCTCTCATGCAGTATTTTCACTTCTGCCGTCTTATTTGACATGTTTTTCTTCCATTTAGTCTTCAAAAGCGAATCCGTAAAGGTCATGGCATTTCCCACAATCATTCTTGTTCTATATTTGCACAGCCTGATATTCTCAACAGGGCTAGAGAAGAAAAACAAGTGAAAAGCACTTACCATACATTGTATCCTATGATTCCTTTTCAAATCTTTTCTGTGTCTAGTTTTTGCCGTTTATCACATGGTACTGCTTAACGTTCTGTACCTTATCAATCCTCGAGCCTAACAGCTTCTCTCTGCCTGGAGACTTAAAAAAAAAAATTCTTTACCTTGTGAGTTTTGTTGTGTTCATTGTCACTTGTCAGAGGAATATATAGTTGATACCCATATTGATCATATTCCATTTGTCTGTGTTTCTACTCTGCAAGTCCTGGTCAGTGATGACTAGTAGCATACTGACACTTCATACCTAAAAAGACTGTAACACATCTTTTTCTTGACTTCCTTTCTTGAAGATGTTTGCGTGGTGTTAAGGTAGTATATCTATGGTTTAACTATCTTCAGCGTTTGATATTTTCAGATTATGTGATTCGGAGTACTGGTTTAAGAAAGCCACTCGATTTGGAAATTTGATGAATTACTCTTCAGTTCATATGATTTCTCATTAATTGACTTCTTTGTATTGTTTTAAATTTCCTTTCCAAGTTGAGCATGAAATGTATTTCATAGCATAATCTAATATCTAGTGTTACTGGTGAAGTTGGATCTCGTATGAGGACAGCATCAGGTAGCGAGATTTGTAAGCGGAGTCAGATTAATGGGTATTTGTGCATCAACACCGTCTCAGACAATCCAGGTGAAGAAGAAACACCACCATCGCCGCCGCCACAAGAGACATCGCGGAAAGGTTTCGAGTGCTGTTATAGAAGGGAATAGGAAAAAGAATGGCGATGCAGCGGCTAGAGTGACAGATATTGCTGTTAGTGAGTTTGTTCACACAACCACAACAGACAAAATATCCGAGGTTTCTAACTCCACATTTCATCTAACTCAGCTGCAATGGCACCATAGCCAGATAGATGCTAACGGTATTATGTTCTTGTTTCCTTGTTTATTGTGTCTGTATTTATGCTGAGGTCGGGTATAATAATGTGCAAGAATTAAAGATACGGATGGGGTTGCTCTTCTATCACTAGGGCAAATGGGAGTTGTTATTATTAAGCATCTTTCCTCAATGCCATAGAACTTCAGGACTATAAATTTGAAACTAATGAGAGATTCACTTGCTTGTAGTAAGTTGCCAAGACGAAGCATGGTTCGATACAGCCAGCATTTTTGAATCTGACTCAGATGATGATGATGATGATGCCGACTTCAGCAGTGTTCATGGAGGTAATTGGCATAATGGCCCTGTTTGGTAACATAGTTAGCTTATCAATCAATTTTGGCTTATTTGACCACTATTAGCTGTTTGACTTGGTTAAACCGCCAATACAAGTGTTTGATTAATTAGCTTTCTGTAATAGCTTATTGCTCCAAAACGCTAAAATTCAAAAAGCTGTTCAAAGTAGCTTTTTCGATCAGCTTTTTGAGAAAGTCATTTTGCATGTAATCAGCTATCAGCTAACAACCAATTTACCAAACATCTTTCTACAATCAGCTAATGTAATCAACTAATTAAACCTACTAACCCAATCAACTAACCGCTATTTACCAAACACCCCCAATATATATTATTTAAATTCCTATCAATAACTCTCGGTATGCATTGCTTAATATAATTTATGATCGACATGGCCGGGCCACATGAATTTAGTGGTCGTAAATTCTTCATGGGGTGGGTTATTGTCACATCTTTAACATAATTATTCGACTTATCTTCTTGTTTTCATCTTCTTTCACATGCTTGCTATTTTAACTCAACTTTTAAAATAATTTTTTGTATTCCTTCCTTGGGGACTGTAAAGAGTCACACTGGGTTAGACTAGCTAATTGATTGGATTCAGTCTTTTACTGTGATTTGGTCCATGTGCATCTTATATTATAACAGGGTATCAGAGCCTGTTCGGTCTACCTTGTGTTCACCCGGTTGTCAACCTGTGGTATTGGTGGCGGCCCAATCTTAGATTATAACAGGGACAATGGAGTTGAGTCATGAATTTGTGGTTTGGTCTTTGTAAAATTTAAGGCTCTGGTGTTTCTTTTACAAACTTTCTGTTGACAGATTTGTTTGTTTCAGTATTGAACTACTCACTTATTTAGTGATATTATTTCATCTCTGTGATACAGATTATTTTCCTTGTGTGCCTAATGGACAAGTACTTCAGTATGAGACTTCATCTTGCTTTGTGGATAGCAAATGTAAGTACAAAGAATATCATGAATGATATCTAAAATAGACAAATAAAACAAAATAAACTTTTTATCAATGATGTCAAGGAGCAAAATGGGCTGTGGACTTCTGTAGGGAAGACTGAGAAGTTTGAAGATATAAGGACAAAAAAGTTAAACCATGCTTGAGTTAAATGTAAAGTATGGCAAACATGACATAAGTGAGAAAAATCAGGAATGCCATGAAGTCTGTCTTACCTAAACCAGTCACTTCTTTAAGTTCCAATGATGTTTTAAGATCATTAATACATCAAATTCTCAGGTGTTTATTCTCAAACAACAAAATCAGCTATCATCAAGGTATCCATAAAGAGGACATCTGTTGATGAAGAAGCAATAGATGATTTATGTAAGTATATTGTGATTTCAGTTTTGGGTATTCTTTCATCGTTATGAATTGAGTCTTTTGGGAATATTTATCCATAATCAGTATGTAGAAATGTTTTTGACTATACGGTTTCCATATTTCTTGGTGAGGAAGATCACCTCTTTTTTAGCATTGTCCATATGATCGGTTGTATTTATTTATTTTATTCTGGTGATTGAAGGTTTGGATGTGGGTCTGGAGGACACTTTTCTCAAGAAAATGTGTCATGAAAATATTGACATACATGCAAGTGGATCGAAAAACTATCTTTACCGGCCCAGAGCAGGACTCACAGTCCCATGTTGTACGGACAAAAAGCCAACACCAGGAACTTGGTCTATTACTGAGCCCTCTAATTTTAAGCTCCGTGGTGATACTTTTTTTAAGTAAGTACGATCTTGAACTTCGTTTTATTGACCAATACATAGGAACTTGGTCGATTACATAACTTCGTTTCATAGCTTCATACTGTATTGTGGGTGGTCAGGCATAAGTTTTGCAATATATTCATTACGACCTTCAACTCAATCTGCAGGGACAAGAAGAAATCCCCTGCTCCAAATTTCTGTCCTTATACTCCCATTGGAGTTGATTTATTTTTGTGCCCAAGAAAGATCAAGCACATTGCACAGCACCTCGAGCTTCCTTCTGTTGAAGCTGATGCTGGGAAACTTCCCCCGCTGCTCATAGTTAATGTTCAGGTATATTTGAAGCGTTTCACTCCAAAAGATGAGCTTTTATTGGAAATGACAAATATCACGCATGTCTTATTAGTACCTTTTTTTCAGCTGCCTAATTATCCTGCGCAAATGTTCCTTGGTGATAGTGACGGGAAAGGATTGAGCCTTGTATTGTATTTCAAACTCTCTGAAAATTATGGGGAAGACGTCTCTCCCCAGTTTCAGGAAAGCATTAAGGTATAAATGACTATTATATTTTTGGGTAAACCCCTGCCTTGTGACCCTAGCCGACAAAGGACCATAAAGAGGTAAACCAGCCTAGGTTGCCATAGATGACTACTATATTTGTGATTTGTGAATAAATGGTCCCACCTCGACCTCCCACCAAAAGCACTAGCAAACTTTACTTAATATGTTTTTTTTTTTTCCTGCTATACACCCTGCAAGAAAGATGTGAGTTTACTAGCGCTTATTTCCCACTGTATTGTTTTATTCCTTTGTCATAATAGCGATTAGTTGAAGATGACATGGAAGCAGCTAAAGGATTTGCAAAAGAGTCTACAGTTCCTTTCAGAGAAAGGTTAAAGATTATGGTTGGGGTTGTAAATCCAGATGATCTTGTATCGATGTCAACTGAAAGGAAACTCTTGAATGCATACAATGAAAAGCCAGTGCTTTCCCGGCCTCAACATGACTTTTATCAGGTTAATATTATGTCTTCAGTTTGATCTTTCTACGATTTCCGTAAACCTTGCTTTCACCAAAATGAATTTGACGCACACAAACATAGTGAGCTAGTGTATGCTATTTCAATGAATTTGTGAAATGCGTGTAACAGGTACACAAACACCCATCTATTTCCAAATGGCATATATATATATAAATATATATATATATATATATATATATATATATATATATATATATATATATATATCCTGAACCATTAATTGTTGTTTCACTGCAGGGCCCAAATTACTTTGAGATTGATCTTGACATTCATCGCTTCAGCTATATAGCAAGAAAGGGACTTGATGCTTTTAGAGAACGCCTGCAAGAGGGAATTCTGGATCTTGGTTTGACAATTCAGGTTTCACAATAATTTACAAGTTTTCCCTTTTTCGACCTCGTTGTCAAGTAAATCACTATTCCTAGTGACTCGCAAATTATATCGTATAAACCAGGGCCCGCCATGCGCATTGTGGACTGGTCCAGATTATTATGTACTTTCAGTTAACAGATTATGTACATTCAGTATAGCCAAATGTATATAATAACTAATAACTGAATATGTATAATCTATTAACTGAAAGTACATAAGATGTATGTTAACTATATATACATAATCTAGACGGGTCAAGTTCTCGTGCGGTCACTCACCATTAGGTACTCATAAATGCACCACAAAGTATTCGGACATGCACCATTAGGTGTGGTGAGATGTGGTGCATTGGTGCATTTCCGAACACTGTGTGGTGCATTTATGCATACCTAATGGTGAATCCGCACAAGAAGCAGTATCCGCATTTGAATCAGTATCTAATCTAGACCAGGTTTACTTATGGTGAATCCTGGTCAACGATATATAAAGATTGCCTAGTTCACTGGACCTATATCTTGTTGATGTTTGTTTCTTGAAGTTTTAACTAATCATTTGTGATAAACATTCAGGCACAAAAGCCAGAGGAGTTGCCAGAGAAAGTTCTTTGTTGTCTGAGGCTAAACAAGATTGATTTTGTTGATCGTGGACAAATCCCAACACTTAGAAGGGTTGATGATGACTCTTTATCAGAGTAGCATCCATTATATTGCCAGCTTTATACCCACCAATAGTATACATGCATGGGGGAATATATATCAGGAATTGAGGGTGGACTGTCAGCTTTCTCCAAGTTGTATTGTGTTGTTTGCCCCAGACAGTGTAAATCTGTACAAAACATCTTTTCTATCTCATGAATACAGAAGACAGAAAAGATGTATTGTACTCAGTTTTACCATATTGTGTGTGTGTATATATATAAATCAGGTGAAAACCAACTTTAACTTGCCTCGAACTGCGAACTTGTGAAGGATTGCACTGCACTTACTACATGATTGCACCGTACCCGGATACAATTGCATTGCAAGGTCCCCCAGGCATATCTAAGAGACGTAGCAGTGCAATCATGTAGTAGTTGCGGTGCAATCCTTCACAAGTTCGCAGTTAGATTAAGGTTGGTTCTCAGCTGATTAGAAATCTATGTATGTATATTCTTTTGTGAGTTGGCAAACAGAAAGATGTCTTGTATTGATTTATAACACTTGTAATGTTCTTATATAACATGAATGCACGTGAAGATTACTCGTTTCCTCCCTCTTGAAGCATGCGTTTCATTTTAACTAAAAGTGTAAGCTGATAGTGACGGATTTTGACATGGATTTGTACTGTTTTGATACCAAATTGAAGCATGCGTTTTATCTCAACTAAAAGTCTAAAGTGATAATTATATTGTACATCTATATTTATATATTATATATATGCTCAACATCACATATACTAACATTGTTTATTCAAGCTTTTTTCATGTATCCCAAATAATATACAACAAGAATGGGCTTTGAGGATGCCTCATTGCTCCCAAAGCTATTTGTAGAAGAGCATGAAGATTGAAGGGCAGTCAAAAATCAGTTCTGTCAAGGCTGTTTGGGTTTAAAATCACGTGACTCCTTGCTTTCGTAAAGGCATTGTACCCAAAGAAAGGTGGCCCTTCTTTTTCTTTTTCATTTTTCATTTTTATATTTTAGGGGATGAGAATTGAACCATTTCCATCCAAAAGAGGTTACCCATCTGATCAATTATGATCATTGAGATTTGAGATTAACTCTCACCCCAACCACTTACAATTTTGTGCCGTGGGTTTTAGTATATTGCAGATTATTTTTATTATACTATATGTTCAGTTACTTGTAATGTAAGTTTATTTTTGTATATTACTTTAAAAAATGAATTTATCTATTGTCAGAGCATTTAGGGATAAAGTACAAATAAGCTATTGAATTAGTTGGAAAACATCAATTAAGTCATCGAACTCAAATAATCTCCAAATAAACCATTAAACCCCGAAAAAAAAAGAGCAATCAACATTTTTTAACTAGTTAACTCCAAGTTTTTGTTGACTGAATTGCCAAATGTTTATTTTATTTATATTTTTTATTATAATCCACTACATACTAATATATTTTAAAATAATTATAATCAAAATAGTTTTGTCTCAGCTAGATCTAATTTATTTATTTATTATTATTTTTTAAATAGAAGATCCAGTGAAAAAATAATAATAAATAAATCAATCAATTAAATCTTGACAAGACAAAACTATTTTGATTATAATTACTTTAAAATATAATACTATCCAAGTGGGTGATATTAATACCCCCTCCGTCCCATTTTATGTGTCTGATTCGGTTAACGAGGCTTGACTAAAGTTATTTTTAATCCAATTTTTCATAGTATTAAGTTTAGTATTAGTATACAAAATTTATAAATTTAGAAACTACACTAAAAGTATTATTAAACACAAAAAATCAAATTTAAAAATAAGTAAAAAATACTAAAGAAAATAAACAAGGAGGAAAGAGTTGGTTTGACCAATGAATAATAAGTAAGACTGATAAAATGAGACAGGTGAAGTAATAATAAGAAGAAAGTAAATATAATAAAATAAACATTTGGCAATCCAGTCAGCAAAAATTTGGAGTTAACCTGTTAAAAATATTAATTGTTCTTTTTTTTCGGGTTCAATGGCTTATTTGAGGTTATTTGAGTTCGATGACTTAATTGATGTTTCCCAAATAGTTCAGTGGCTTATTTGTACTTTGTCCCGAGCATTTATCATTAAAGTTATAACTACTGATGAATGTATAATTTCAAGTAGTTAGAGCTACTCCGAGCCGACGCCCAACGTTTATAATAAATACTAAATATTATAAAAATAATATTTAAATAAGTATTATTTGTGTAAATGTCGCTGCCACCACTATTCATCTTCACCGGTCTCCGCCTTACTGTGCGCACAAGAAATTCAATCCACACCATACTCTGACATAGGGAGCCTAACTCCAATAATGTTTGAAGTGGAGTTTAAATCATCACCCTTTCGCCTCCAACTGTGACTTGAGGTCAAGTAATCAACTATAAGTGCTAGTTCGGGCATATAACATTTTACTTGACTAATTTTTTTTTTCTCTCTCTAAGAGCATCCTTATCAGTTGGGGATATTAGGGGGAGAATGTAAGAGTGAGTAGGAAAAAGAATAATGTGGGAGAGGGGGGGGGGGGGGGGGGGGAGGGCGGGGAATCATAATAATAAGCATGTCAGAGTAATTTCTTCTCTCTATTGGTTCTCTCTCTTCCATCATTAATTCCTTTTTCTTGGAGATGCTATTGACCCCTTCTCTCTCTTGATTCTCTCTCTGCCACCATGACATTTTAGCCTCAAAAGTAGTGAATTCTCCCCCATTTATCCACTGATGTAGATGCTCTAATGAAATATGAATATTCTTATCAAATCACTAACACATTTTTCCACTATAAAATATACATTTTCCACTATAAAATAATAAAATAAATATTCATCACGACCTTTGGTTTCCCTTTGTTAAAAAAAAAAAAAAAATGAAGAAGATTTTGGTAGCTATATATTCCATATTTCCAAAAATATTTAATTATGTAATACAAAAATATCACCATTTTCCTATTCTGTTTGTATAATATAAGATATTATATCACCATTATATTTACTTATTTTAGATTTTCAAAATTCCTATTTATGTTTATATTAAGTAAGATATCATATCACCATTCCAATATAACGATCTAACATTATTTTCTTATCAAAAAAGGCCAATATAATTGAAACAAATGCTCCAGCTCAACTAAAAACCTATGTTTATAATTAAATTGTACATTTATATATCAGTATATTTGAAATTAAGAGAAAAAAAATAAACAAACAAAATAAAGGATTAGCTAGGGGCATAACTTAGTGGTCGAAATGTTATAGGTGCAAGCACTTAGACTCAATGTTTTGGGGTTCAAATTACTTATATTTATTACTAAAAAAATCGGCCTAGGCGCCTAGGCACAGACTAAGCACTAGGCTCCCCTAAGCCGATGCGATTTCAACCATAGGCGTTTTTTAGTTGGCCTACCGACTAATTGTCCGACTAGGCGTTGAGCTGAACGCCTAACTCGCCTAACTCGACCGAGTCGGGTGCCCAACTCATCTGAATTGGCGCTCAACTCAACCGCGGCTCCGCTACTCCTCTTCTATATTTCTCCAACCATGTATATTCTCAAATTATGTACTCAACTAATCATCTAACATATGTATTTGACTAGTTTGAGGACTATAACAGTCCAACAACTCCTAGCCATTGAGTAGGAGAAGTGGAGAAAATACACTCGATTTACTCCTGCTAGGCACTCTACTCCTGCCTAGGCACTCTGGGTGCCCCGAACGCCCGATTAGCGCTTTCTGCAATATTGCTTATATTATATGACATGGAATATGTGAAATCAATAGGAAAAGAAAACCAAATAAACACGAAATCAAGGATTAGGTTACAAGATGAGAGAGTTGAACAAAAAAAAAAAAAAGAATTGTTCAAATAACTTAGGTTGCAAGCTAGAATACAGTACAAACTAAAATGATTAAAGAAACATGAAAGCTGCAGACAAAGCCATAGCAAGGACAACAGAAAGGGAAACGGTTTGGGGAAACATCAGCGGCGGCGAATGGTTTTTGGATTGAGAAGGTGAAGGCGCCGGAGGAGGATGGTGCTCGACGTTGATCGCCATTTTCATTTGGCTCCAGCAATAGCCTCCGCTGCTAAGGAAGTAATATGGCCTCGTCTCGTTCAACTGGAACACATCCCGACCGCCTCTCGTGATGTTGGTTATGAACTCGCGGTCGTTGCACGTCTCGTAGTTGCTGCTGTTCACCTCCAGCACACTGTAATAGTGCTTATCGAACACAAAATCTGCCACAAAATTTTAAAGCATTCCACTGTAAACAACTGGAAATTAAACGATCAAAAAATGAAATAAGATCGACCTATATGTGTTTAAAATTTCTGAATTTCATAGGTAGCAGTGATCTATCTCATCTATCGTTGATAGGATATTTCCAAAATTTTAGATCAAACTAAGCCTCAAGGCGGCGTAACTTGCTTTCGCCCTAAAATATTTTTTTTTGAAAAGAATTAGGGTTTAGGAGTGGAATGTTACAGAGCCAGTCGCCGACGTAGAAATGCTGTTTGGCCGCCCATTCGGTGTAGTTAACGTTGGGAGTCCAACCGACGTTCCCTCCCACCTTAATCCGATCGCCCAGCGCCGATGTTAATAGCAGCGAACCGAACACCAGCGGCAACCACACAGCGCCCACCACCTTTCTCGCCATCACGCCCGAAGCCACACCCTCCATGACAGAAAATTAAAGCAGTGTTTGATCGTTCGTCTACTCTCTCTCTCTCTCTATCTATTATAAAAGGCAACGAATTGAAGAGGCGAGAGTGGGGTTTCTTTGGTAAGAAAAGAGGTGGCAACCATTCATCATTTCATCAGCCAGCTAGGGCAGATTTCGGTTTCCAAAAAGTTGAGCGGATTCTACTGATTGATCATGCTCTAGGTGCTCTTGTGTAATCCTTATACCATGGATTAGGGCTCATATTCATTGTGTATTTTAATGTATGTGTATATGTTTTGACCCTGTTTGTTAAAATAGTTAGTTAATAGATTAATTTTGATTTATCTGATCACTATTAGTTATTTGACTTTGCTTAAAAATCAATTTAAGTGTTTAGTTAATTAGCTTTTTGTACTTCAAAATATTAAAATTAAAAAAACTACTCAAAGCAACTATTTCAATTAGCTTTTTGAGAAAATAAATTATACTAACAGCTATCAGCTAACAGCTAATTTATCAAACACCTTTTTACAATTAGCTAATGTTATCAAATAGTTCAGGGCCGTATTTTAAGTTTTGGTGGCCCTGTTCTAGTAAATAAATGTGGCCCTACCAAAATCATAATTTTTAAAACTAATACATGCAAGTTTCGAACCTTTGACCTCCAAGTTAAAATACAATAAATACACATTCTTACCATCTCTTCATGAAACCTTTAAAGTTTAATTGAAAACTTTTTAATTTTTATTTTTAAACTAGCTAGGTAAAAATTAAATATT